TGAACTGTGTTCGTTGAGTGAATCAGTGTAACGTCTGTCGTGAATAAAAATATTCACGGTTTTTTGATTCATCCTTAGTGTGCAATATCTATCTCTTATCAAATTATTCCATCTTATTTTTGAATATATCAAAAATATATTATTTCTATAATACATATCTCACGTCATTTTATATAACATCATTTCCTCTTACCGTGCCATAATCTAACTAATATTATGAAGCAAAATTTGTTCTGCTGATTGTGGTTGTGTACGTGTAAGTAAATCGAACGTTTGCTGTTAACGCTCTGCCTGAACACATCCAACGGCACCACACAATACAACCCTTTCAAAACAACGTCAGCGTTGAGACTGAAAAGTTATTCGAATGAAACGAATAAGCTTCGATGAGTTTTCAGCGGGTTTTGATGGAAAACAATTAGTTTCGTAAAATCCTATGAGCTATATTTTTGATTTTGGAATCGTGAAAAGTAAATGGAGTTGGAATGAGTGTTTTGTTGCTCCTCTTTCAGAAACGTATTCGCTCGTTGAAGATTCTCAACTGGAAACGATGCAATGCTTGAGGGAACGTATGAAAACTGTCACAGACCAGACGGCATTTGCTGCGCAAACTTCGGATGAATCTCCTTCGAAATCGCGTCAATCCAACGCTGGTTCACTACCAAACATTAATCAGGTATTTTTTGATTGCGAGATACCCGAAGTCTGATTTTTTTAAAATTTGTTATTTTTTCGCAGAATGAGAATTTCTGTATACTAATTGTGATTCATTTTTGCTTTTCAATAATTTTACGTGTGGTTTTTTTGTTCAGTTTCATAATTTTTGCTTAGAATTATCAATTTTCAGATTCAGTTTATTCAACTGNTTCGTTAGTTTACAGGATGTTTTTTCATTAGAGGATGATTCGCCAGATAAATTTTTGTAGCTCATTCCGAACGTCTTTCTATGATTCTGTTGTAATTTGATTTTTGGATTCATAATTCAGATCAAATTTTTTGTATGCATAGTGATAATAATATCACAACATCTTTGTGACGCTAATGTTTCTTCATCTTGTAAAGAAGATAGAAAAGTAACAAATATTGCTCGTTAATGAAACGTTTGAAATAAAGTAAATGTGCAAACAATTAATTGCAGGAACACTTTTACTACAGTTGGGTGAAACCCACAAATGGCCTCAAAAACGTTTGGAAACAGATTTGGCTGATGCTATCGAAACAATTGTTGATGGGAGTGGTGCTGGTGGTGGTGAGAGTGGTGAGGAAGGCACCCCTGAAGACTCGATGAAAACAACAACTCCCGGTGATGTGGCTTGCCAGATGGAATCTAAATCCCAGAAGACACCCGATTCCCAGAATGAACCAGTTTCGTCGAGCAGTGGTGATCTGAAATCATGGTAGACTCCGTTTCTGTGTTAAAATTTCGTTTTTAGTTTAATAATTTGATGTTTTGGATTCGTATTCACGATTATGCAGTTATGTGATTATGGTAGGTAGATTATAGTTTATAAAATCGAACGGGGTAGTTATTAGATAAGAACATATTTTCCAGATAAATTTGAATGCTCAATGAACAGAAGAATCTGATAATTTAATGCTGGTTTTAAATTGCTTATGGTATTGAAAATGTTCAGTTTAATGGATGACGAATGGAGGCTGAACTGTGAGCAGATCGTAGCATCGATTCTAACTGAACCGTCGTTGGCAGGATTCTTCGATCAGAGGTGCAGCGTTTTGTCGTAATTACTGCGAGCATTATGATTGCTGTTGTGATGTGTCATTTTATCATCGCTGTTATTTTTTGAGATGCGAGTATTGTTCATGGAGAAATCTTTCAGATACTCGATATGTGATCTAGTGCACGAGTATCGCAAGGATCGCTACACAACTCCTTCGACTCCANATTGTTTGAAGACACTGTATGAAATGACTATGGAATATTATTATTATTGGAATATTATTGTCTCGAATTGGTAATGTATAACGATTGTATTTGTGCGATTTGTTATGTTATTCCAATTGCGTTCAGTAAGGTTTACCTATTCACGTCGATTTCTTTCTCTCCATACGACGTGTAATTGAAAACCGCGAATTTTTATGCGAATGAGAATAACTTTTGAATGATTATTTTGTCTCTGATTTATTTACTTTTGCCAGTTATTATTTATATTGTTCATTGTTTATTTGTTTATGTTGGAGTATTTTGTTTATCAGTCGGTTAATTTATTCATTCTTATGCATATTCACTGAGATTGTTAATTGATTCTGTTCGCTTTTTATGATTATCGCTGATCGTTGCACTCCCAAATTGACAAGTTTTATTTGGAACAGTTCCTTTGGCGGAATTCCCTTGCTGGTGATAGTATCATTCTCGACTTCCATAATCAGTGATAATCATGCCGGTATTCATATCTTCTAGTAGGTAGCCATACGTTCCATTATATTTTTGTTATAATTATTTATTATTATTACCTGGATTATCTGGATTGGTAGTCAGGCTATCAAACGTTTGTAACGTTGCTGGCCAAGATGCTCGTGTTTCCGTTCACACTGTTTCAGCCTTGATTGGCCACCCCGCTGGACCGAACACAACCGAGTAATTGATTAGTTGACGTGAATACTTTGCATAATTAATCGTAGCCAAATACCAGTCCAATAAGTAATCACAACTCCAATGAAATAAATATTCCGTCGATCGCTCACAGCGATTGACAGAAGAACTATTCGATGTCCGAGTAACAATAATAAATTTATTTATTATAATTATAATAA